ACAATTTGTAGGTTAAAGTAGCTTGACCTCTGACCGGGTCATGACCTGCGCCATGGACATCGAGTCGAAACCGCGTGGATTGGGCACACCGACGTCGACTGCAATTAGCCGAAAGTGATGGGCGTAGGCAGCATTAGCCGTATTGAATCGGGCTGACAGAATGGCGATGTGCACGAAGGGCGTTGCGCAAGCGAACGGCGCCGTGCTCAGTGCTCAGCTCAGTGCCGGTCTGCGATACCGACGCTTGCGCTGGGATCGTCTCACTCGCGGCTTTTTGTGTTGAGCGGGTGAGCACACGGCTGTGGCCGGACCGGAGCTCGAGAGGGGGAGGGGGAGGGGGGGGGGGGGGGCAGCTGTCATGCTGGCCGGGCCGGATCGGACGGATGGACAGGGGATGAACAGCCAGAGGACCGACAGACACTATACGGTCGGGCAGGAGGCCGACAGGCGGAAGACGGACGGAAGACCGACAGAGGACAAACAGACAGAAGACAGACGGAGGACGGCCACACAGAGGACGGACCGACAGAGGACAGGCAGAGGACGGCTAGACGAAGGGCGGATCGACGGAGGACAGACAGACAGAGAACAGGGAGGCAGAGAACGGAAAGACAGAGAGGGCGGACGGACAGAGGACAGACAGACAGAGAGCAGACAGATAGAGGACAGACAGACAGACGACAGACAGACGACAGGGAGACAGCGAATGGAAAGACAGAGAGGACGGACAGACAGAGGACAGACAGACAGAGGACAGGGAGACAGAGAACGGAAAGACGGAGAGGACGGACAGACAGAGGACAGACAGACAGAGGACAGACAGACAGAGGACTTCTGTCATTTTTAGCGTGCCACCCGACACTGGGGTTGTTACCGGTTGCGGGGCGAGAATAACGAGGCAGGGGATGTCATTACACGAGGCCTGGATGGGATAGGCGAATCATGCGGCGGGAGTTCATGCGCACTGTGTGCAGTGGCAAACCCCTAATGGTAGCTGAAGCAGGTGCGCCTATGCAAGTGCGAAATGGCGCAACAGTGTTTCACAAATAGAAGCCATCACATGATAGCCTTATGAAATAAAAAAGAAAACTAAGGCGTTCATCAATTTAAACCGCAACATCCACATAGTTCATGATTCATCGAGGCGAATGTGAGCCGTGGAATTGTGCTCGGGTTTCCAAGATGATACATACCCCATTAGGCATAACGCATTGGTGTGGGAACGTTTCAGGAAGTGTGTGTGTGGGGAATGCAAGTTGTAAACTCTGTATTTGCATGCATTGCCCCACAGCTGCATGGCTAATACTGAGCTTTCTGTAAAAATGGAACATAATGACCGATCTGTCTGCTCTAACCGCTCAATTTTTACGCTCACGCTATTACCTTTTTTCGAAGATGGCAATTCAAGGCATTGAATTTCCGAGGGCGTTTCCTAATTATACTTTTTCTAGTACGAGCAGAGGATTATGACACAAAACAGCAGTATTTTCAGCCGCGAGAAACCACGAACACCGGAAATGTTACGATTTTTTCGTTTGATCTTTCGCCATAACGCCATAATACCCTCACACCTGCGTGGTATGTCGTTTGCGCAGTTTTTCGCATACTCCTTCGGTGTCGGTGATCCAATTTTGGTAAGTATATTTCGGAGCATTCGGCTGCTTCTGAAGACTTTTGTGTTATTAGAAAGCAATTTTGTCCAAGTTAAGACCAATCGGGGTTTCCGACACTGCGAAAAATTACCATTATCCAGGAGATGAATAATACATCGCTTTAACACTAAAACATAGACCTTCCCAGCTCGCTCAGATCATGAAGCCCTAGATCGTTGTCCCTGGTTTAAAATCCAGTAGTTTCAATGAAAAAATGTGGACTGTGTTGTTGAAATAGCTGAAAGACAAACATGAGGGATTTTGAACACAAAACACAAGGCACAAACACATAAATTTTGAATTCCCTTCTGGTATTCATTTCGGTAAAGTCATGTTGCCGAAATATCAACGCATCCGTATCTCCCTTCACTTGGTTTTTCTCGGAGGAATAACGTTATTGCCATTGTATTATCTATGTGCATAATGTTCTCGCAAATGCACAGCTTGCGTTATCATCCAGTCCTTCTCAGGACTCCTCAGGAAGACCCAGGGATTCTCAGGACACCTGACGGCGGCCAGGGAGTTAACACGCGCTCGGGTGGGGGTCAAATTGACCCCCGAAGGTTTTTCTAGAATGGCTTGCGAACGGCGAGACGTAGCCGCGCCAAATGTTGCATAGCTCTAGACAATAGCAGATCGTTTGACATAAAAATTAGATGCACCTTGTAACGTCGCTGACCTATGGCAGGTCAAAGTCAGGCCATGGTTTCATCGAACGCAATTTCTAGGAATCGTTCAATCTGATACAACAGTAGTGTGTGACGAAGCCATGCATCTCTGAGATGCTTTCTTAGCCACCACAAATATTGAATGAGCAAATCACATGGACCTAAGGTCAGGTATGAAGGTCAAACCAAGGTCAAAATCAACCTGATTTCTTACTCTAGGGCTTGCTGTATAGGATAGATTCTGGTGTTCATTTCGAATTTATTTGCAGCAAGAACCATATTATGCATCTTCCATTGACTTCTTTGAGGTCAGAACAGGCTATTGACCTATGATGACCCGGGTCGACATTTTGTGTTAGGAACATATCGCCTAGCGTAATCTTTGTCGCTTATTCAAATGTCAGACTCAGAACAATCTTGCATGATTTTGGTCACCATGACCTTCAAAACGCCCAACAAGGTTACTGGCCTCCAATGGGATTGTAACATTTTGCTTAGAAACAGTTGCCTAGGTTCTGGGGGCACTTCGGAGACCAACCTGGAATTTGACCTTGTTTGACCTTATTTGACCTAAAGGTCATGACCTAGGAAGCTCAAACTTTAACCTAAGTGATTTTACGTACAGGTCAAGACACCCTGTAAATTTGGTATCTCTACCTTTCTTAGTTCCCGAGATCTCAAGGATGGGTCAAATTGGCCCCACCAGAGAGAAGAGTATTTGGCCGGCCACCCGGGCGCGTGTTAAGCAGCCGAAACGCTGCGGAGATACTAACACACCAGAACAGAACAAAAGTTGAAAAACTATTCCATCTTTTACACGAACGCTTTGTCTCAATTTTTCTGAAACAAGAGCATTTTCGTTTTTTCTTCTAGCGGTAAATCACAGGTTTGCAAAAAGGGATTTTAAAAAATGTTGCCATCTTTGCCCTTGACGTTGGGGTGGGTATTCTCGACATTGTCGCCGAGTTTGACAGGTTGTGATTAACTCTGGAATGTTACCAGGGCTTGGAGGTACTGGAAACACTGGAAACACTGGAGACAGTTGTAGAGGCGAGATAATCCTGCCAACCAGAAGGAAATATTATTTCTACTCTCTTTGGGTCACTTACTCTTTACTGCTTAGTCACGCTGTTTGGTACTCTTTGTTTACTGTTGGCCAGTTTACCGTTTGGTTTCAGTGTGGTGGCGAGGAGAAACAGTCATCCCTGTCGGTCAGATTTTGTACGATGGTGATGGCTATGGTCAGATGGTGATGGTCCACGTAGCAAATATCTCGGCGTGTGGCTTACGTGCGCTAGTTTTGTGCAGATTGATTAGGAGTATTTGTGTTCTTGTGATAAGGGAGTTAGACAATTTTTCGTTTGGTTTGTTTGTAAACGAACCATACCACCTGCTAAATCCATGGTCAGAATTGCAGGCACGGGATCTTGACGACCACGAAGTATCAACGAAAATATAACCACGCGATGTTTACATTCAGTGCCTCCAGTGCCTCCAGTGTCTCCTGCGCCTCAGTTTTGCCCGTCGGATGCCAGAACCATGCTGAATTCGTGGTCAGGATCGTATGCACGGGAACTTAACGACCGTGGCCATCGAGCAAAGGACGACTGTTTTTACCAGGACTTGGTTAAGGTGACGTGCTGGCAGCATGCACATCTCGCATGTACTCGCTCAGGTGTGTGTCAATGTCTGCTGGGTTATGCTACCGTGAGTGATCAGGAACGACACTGCATTCTTTCCCTCATGCTGAAGACGGCTGGAGGCGTTCAGGCTGCTCTTTCGCACGGCGACGTCGCTCCGAAGTCGCTGGCGGGACGTACTCGGATGAATGTGCTCCGCAGGAGGCTGCGGGCTTTGGTTCACCGGTATTCCCGGCTGACGTCACTAGCGTTGGGCCGACTGCGCCCCGGTTTTGTCCGTCGGATGCCCAGTGGGTGACAGCGCCCAAAGAAAGAGGCTCGAGACCGCGCCTGTGTTGTGATCACATTACCGGACTCTTCCTGCAGCGAACGACAATACCGGGTTCGCCTCTTCCACATGAGAGGTTAGGGCATTGCGCAGCGTGGACCTGGCCAGTAAATCGCGCGGCAAAAGTTCTTGCTCACTGTACTGTATTAGCACAGACATCAACGACATTAAGATTAACTGATAAACGTTAAGACAGAGGCGAAAGTGTTCGGTTACCAGACACATAGTTAATATGCCATCTTGTTGTGTACACAACGGTGATCAGCCCCAATTAGCAAAGTCAGGACATTTTGGAGCCTTAATCCTCCCGAGCATTATTAATTATACAACCACGCGGTGATTTACATTCAGCGGTGATCCGACAGACTCGTGAAAACTTCCTGGCGGGGACTGTGAAATCATGCTCTTTCAGTTTCTCCAGCGCGACAACAGTCCATCTTCAGATCCTCCCAGCTCGCATGTCCTGGCTCGTTTCCACTCCAGTCATCTGGTTTCATACGGCGGGATAATGCACACACGTGTACGTGAGCGCTGGTGTTTGCGTATGTTTTGAAACCTGCGGCAAAATGGCTTCGCCAACGAGCTGGTGCTGCTACGACGGTAGTGCCACAGATTCTTCCCCGTACCGTGCGCTAGCCGTTCCCGCCTGTGGTTATCTGCAGCATACCCTGGGTAAGTAGGCTTACCACACGTAAGCCTGCTTTCCTGGCAGTCACGGCACACTCACGCGGGGCATCAGCAGACTTGGCGGCTTCGGTTCAGTCGGGATGCTCTCAGGAAGAACGGAGTTCCGTCCTAGACCCCGGAGATGAAACACGTTCACAACATGCGCCCTCGGCACCCTGTCGGCGTCAGGGGACTTCTGCGCAGTAAGACGTTTTCCGCAGAGAATCGGGCAGAGCGTGCGCTTGTACTCGTCCATTACCTTCGGGCAGAGGATGGTCAGAACCCAGCCCTCGGTAGCCATGCTCAAGAGCCGGAGGCTGGATGTGGTCTTGTGCAAGGTTGGTATTTCCGCTAGCCCCAATGCCTGAGTCAGATTCGCTACGACGTTCGGAAGTATGCAGATGAGAAACATCAGCGTTAGAACCGCGATGGCATAGTAGCCCTGCAGCCGGAAGAGCTTCCGTGTTGTCTGGTCCTGTACACTTACCCGTTCTTGACTAATTCTTCTTTCCTGGCGCCAGGCCACGAAGGCGACGAACACGTTGATACACAAGCAGGGCAGGTAGGTTGTAAGAACGAACAGGGAAATGGTTATTCGGAAGGTGGGTGGAATAGACTCCCAGTGGTCGCACACGCCGCCGTCGTCCGCCCCGAATGCCCTGTGGAGTGCCATCCCAAAGATCCAGAGAAGCGCCGCGACGAGCCAGGAGGCGGCGAGCAGCAGCCGCCGCTGCCGGTCGGTGATGATGTCGAAGTAGCGCAGGCCGTGCACGACCGTGACGTACCTCTCCAGACTCAGTGCCAGCAGCGCGACGACGGTGGATGCGCCGACAGCCGACCTCAAGAACAGTAGCGTCGCGCACGCCCAGTCGGGTGGCGACATCTGCAGCAGCTTCAGCGTACCCAGCAGGGCCGAGGTGACGCCCACCAGCGCCTGGGCGGAGGCCATGCTGGCCAGCAGTCGGTACATGGTCGACTCGCGGAGCTGGCGCCGCCGCAGGATAGCCACCACAGGCACCGCCGAGTTGACGGCCACGACGAGGCCGATGGTGACTTCCAACGTGGCCGACATCCTGAGGAGTGGCGCGTGGACGTCCGAGTGATGCCGCCGGTCCGCCGGCTCGCCAGCTCGGTTATCCCAGTCAGCTCGTCGCTGGGGCAACGATGCATCGACATCGACGCACATCTGTCAGCTCTGCCCCGAAGGATCTCGTGCGCGGAATACTGATTAATGTGCTGAGATTGGATGTGATCGGCTGCGAGTACCTACGTTCAGGCAGTGACCAATCAGATACCGTTTCGAAATCGGATCTTCCCAACAGGATTCATCAGGAAACAAGATACGAGGTTGTGCGTCATGCTAAATGCCGCTCACGGTGGTTAGGCACAGGGTGCATAGTAATCAGGTGACATTTCGGGATCAGATTTATTCACAACAATATTCGAAGGGGCAGGATATATGGTTGTGCGCCGTGCCAAAGGCCACTCGGCATTAGTTACTTACAGTATATGACCAGGGCGAGGGATTTGGCCTCGCGCCCTCTCATAGCCGAATGAGAGCATGGTCATATACAATGGAGTGGTCTGCTGCTCAATGGAGCTGAAGATGTGTACTGTCGCTCATCAGATCAGCGTCCGTACAGAAAAAATGCAGCGAAAGAGGTTCATGGTCGTCCCCCTTGTTAGGTCTGAGAGGTCGTCACGACGTGTCGAATGCTCGGTGACTGGACAATAAGAGCACCGGATGAGAACGTGGAGGGGCACTTCTGACCAAAGGATATCGCTTTGGAGGGTCCTGGGTCCTTCAGGGTAGGAGAGCAAATGATCCCGGACTTTGCTGGTATCCAAAAGAGCATATATGCTGAAGCTATGCGGATAATAACAATATTAATCGGCTTGGGGGGGGGGGCAAAATGAAAGGCAGAAAGGGGGCTAAATCAAATGAAAAGTTTCACATTTAAGACATTAAAGCAAGCACCATATATGATGGAATAAACTCACTTAAACTATTCCTTTACTTTTAAGTGAAAAAGACTGCTTTAGACTGCACAATTTCTCTATTTGGTAGACATGCTCTTCACAACGCCATTGTGTCACTGTGTCATCGTACCTTACACGACCTTGATGGAAAGTCGATTGACAGCCGTTGAATCTGGAAATCGTTCTCACGAGCGCCAGCTATTAACGACTCGCAATTTCTGTCCGATCGCCACGTGGAAAATGGAATGGCAGAATTTGAATGACATTACTATGGCGCCATGCGTGTCTGGATGACCTTAAAAGAGCATGCACGATGTAGTCTGCACATCTCTGCGGACGTGGAGCTCAGAAGCTAAAGGGCTTAATGTCTTAAAAAGTAGGGCTTTTAACTAAACTGAATGATGTACTAATTTAATTTATTTTAATTAAATCTGCATATTATATATATATATATATATGTATATATATAATATTATATATATATATGCGTTTAATATTATTTATATTTAATATAATTTAACTAAACGGAGTAACTAAACTGAAATCAAGGTGACTATTTCAGTCCAAAACCCATACAGATGTAGAGCACCCCTTTTAAGGAGGCCGGGTACCGCGTATTCTCATGCGGCAGGCAACGACATTTAGAGATCAATCCCAGGTCTCCACTGACGGAGGCAGGTGCAAGAGGAACGATGAGATGTGAGGTCATTAGGGTTAGAGAAGTCACGAAGAGACCCTCTCAAGTCCTTGAGGGACTCCGCAGGAAGTACTCCGCATATTTCGGATTGCGTCCAAATGGCCCCTAAAGCTGAGATCACAAAGTAAAATGAATGGCCGTCCATTACACCAGGGGCCCCACAAACGACGGTCGAACGCGCTGAATTTTCGAGGGTTGACCCTCAGAGACGCCTCCAGTGTTCCAAGCGCCCACCTCAAAGGGGCTATCCTTGGTGAAGGAAATTGCGGAGTACCTTCGAGACAAGCCATCTTTCGGGTTCAAAAGGACCCATAGTGTTAATACCTAGAACGGCCTTCACTTTGAGGCCCGGATCTTGGACTCACCATGCACGGAACGGGCCTGATAGGGCCCATTAGATAAGGGGCCTTTTAGCAAAATGAGACTCAATAAGGTCCAAGGCCCCTAGGGGTCTACTTCATCCTGGAAAGCTGGGGTCCATCTCAGGACCACCGCTGATATGGCGGATGAAATGGACGCGTGATTGGGTGATCGTTCCCTTGAGGCCCGAGAGGAGCCTCAGGGAAGTCCTCGCTGACCCCAGAGAAGCCTCCCAGGAAATGACGCCCTTTTCAGGTTGTACCTCAAGTGTTTTTTTCGAGTGTTCTTGTGCTCTCATTCTGAAGTCACGCAAAAGATAGTCCTGCGATACTTGGGGGGCCCCAAATGCGGAGCATCCAGGGCCCTTACTTAAAGTGGCTAGGTATACTGTCTTTTCGCAGAGGTGGCATTCGAGCTAGTGCTTCTGAAAATGGCCCATCTTATAGAGAGCTTTCCTGGTTTGATTGGGCGGGGGGGGGGGAAGGCAATAAGGCTGAGGGCTTGCCATTGTGTCAGGATCTCTTTGGTACGAAATATATCCTAAGATCAAGGCCTAAAGCAAGCTTTCTTGTGGAGTGGGAAATCTTGGGTCTCATGGACCGGGATGACCCCTATGCAGGGCGCTGGAGTAGAAAGATCCTCCTGAGGCAACCTATCTCTTAAACGGGTCCACCTCCAAAGAGGCCCATCCTGGGATCCAAGGTGGGCCTTTCCCATGCCCTAAGATACAAAATGGCTCTTTCCAGGCCCACGGGAGCCAAGGCTGATAAAAGGCTGACGGAGGCCGATGAAAAGAGAGTGATAGGGTGACCGCCGCATTCAGATCTCAGGAGGCACCCAAGCCCCCCCCCCCCGCCGTGCCCGAAGGGTCTTTTTCGATGGAAAAACGTCTCTGGCAGACAACATGGCCAAAGGTGAGGGGGGCAATAGGACTCAAATTGGGTAAAATTTGATCCTCCTTGAGACGCAGCACGGTAAAAAGACAACTAATGTCAGAAGACGTACGGAAAACATTGGAATCCATTTTATTCCATGATGTTAACCAGGAACATGTCGGGTCAGATAATTTTCAAGCGTATTTTGGAGCGAGCCGATTTTATAGTAACACGAAATCGCACGGCTTTGTGAGAAAGTCATTTACTTCTGGGTATCCAACGGTACATCTATTACAGCATCTGTAAACCTCACTTTGATCATTAAAAACCAATGATATCGAGTAGCAAAGCAACACACAAAACGGCAAAACAAGTGTCCGCACGGCTTACGGCATCCACATAAAAAGACAGGGGGCGTCATCTTGTGAAGAGCGTGTTATTTTAAAGATCAACGTGGAATTAACAGGAACTTGAGCCACTGCCATCATTTCAAGCTTTGCAGCGAAGGCTTAAAGGGAGTGCTCCGCAATTATATGGGGTTTTGAACTAAAATATCTATTTTGAAGACCTTTTAGGGCAGCTCACCACCCATCGGACCTAAACTCTTTCAAATCCTGTCGTTCCATAAGCCAAGCTGTGATCAAGGCCGAGAAAAATATAATGATCAGGTCATGCATGTCTGGCGTTCGTGAGCACGATTGCCACATCTAACGGCCGTCAATTGGCCCTCAATCAATTTTGTGCAAGGTATGGTGACGCAATGCAAATATGACACATCGAGGAGCATATTTACTAAACAGAGAGGTGGTGTTGTCGAGAACAGTCTTTTCTAATTAAAATAAGCCAATGGTTATAAGTGAGCTTGTTCCATCATTTCCGATACTTGCTTCAATAGCTTCAAATATATCTCTACCTTTCCACAATGCTCGACAAGGTCCGTCCTTCCTCCTGACGTCACCTGACCTATGGCGCGGTCGCTACCACTGGCCGCCATCCCAGCCAGGAACAAACAGTACGCGTTTAAAGCGAAGAAGGCCCCAAACCAACCGATCTTTCGGAGCCGAGTTCCGTAAAGCCAAGCCCCACCCAACGAGCAGCCAGTGACGTCACTGGTACGTGCGTCATATGCGGTTAGGAAGAAGATCTGGAAGTCCAAATGTAGGCAAAAGAAGAATCTGATTCAATCCATTAAGACATACGCGCGCAGCAGTGGCGCACATGAATATTATTTGATTACACAGCTGATGTCATGTTGTCAAAGACACTATCACCAGTCCCGCCGTCCACATCTGGTCAAGAGCTACCCACTTGCTCGACATGCAAGATCGTCAACAGCGCATCGACCACTGCTATGCGTTGCCATGCAAACAATGGCGATTTTCGGCCAAGTAAGGCACGGGCTTTCGTGCAGTGACGTCATAGGTAATCGAGGTGTGTATACCATAGGTCGATTGATACACATGCCTGGTTTGCCTACCTTCTGCTATTGTTTCCATAAAGGCATTTTGCCGAAATACCGATCCGTCTTTATCTCCATTTTCCTGGTTTTCTACGAGGAAAAAGGGTATTACTACAGTATTATCTTTAAGAACAATGTTCCTCGCAAATCCGCTGAACGACTTACGCAAAATCGTTCTGGATATTTGATGGAGCACGGAGCAAGAATAGTCTTCTGGTGTAGAAGTGCGTAGCTACTCAATGCCATGTGTACCTAGATTCGAATTCAGATAGTCAGGAGATATTACCTCTACGCTCAAATTGTACTTTTTCCGGTATGAAACTGACCGCAGGATCATCCCATTCGCCCAGTTGCAAAACGGAAACTTGACATAATTATAACAGCGTGAAGAGAAAATCGCTAGCCAAAAGAAGGGTAAAGGAAGTGCCAGGAGCAAAACCAGCAACGCCTTACAAATTGGCTTTGGTTTTTACAGCAGACCTCATCGCATAAAGGGCATTTATTTTTTCGGTAATAAAACCAAAACTTGCCGTTCAGTCTAAAAAAGTGAAACTCGGACCTTTCCGGTAGGATCAAAGCCACCATCTGCAACGCAGCGAGGAACGTGGAAGCTTTCCCAGGACGGAGGACTGAGCTGAGGCCGGAGCCCGGCCGGCGCACGCGGCGCCTCCCACGAGCTCTGTTCAGGACGGAGTACTGAG